GGGGGGGAAGGGGGGACTGAAAAAATCGTTCATTTGATTTTTTAAGGATTACCCTAATGTACATACATACGCTTGTGGATAAAAAATGAAATTTCTGTTTCTTAATCCGACACCCGTTTCCTTTGTCCGGAGCAAATTTTAAAATGTACAAATATTACGCATATAAGGTATGTGAGAACGTATGCATGTTAGCCACCGTGCATTTGAAAAATGTTTTTTGTGGTTTTTGTAAGGAGTGAAATTCAGCAATTTCGGCATAGGAAATTTCGTGTACAATTCTGACGAAGCACAAGTATTAGCCGAGTCCTTAGAGGTATATACATTAGGGTGCCCATCGAAAATGCTTTTTTTGGAAATTTCAAGACCCTACCCCCTAATTTTATTTAGTTTTATGAGAAATATTATTGCCTGTTTTTATAGATTTTGTAAAGGTCATTTAGAGGTCGCGACCTGTCGATTTAGGTCCGAAAATACGATTTTGTAGATTTATGAGTTTTTGAATGACTATTTTTGATTCGATTTCAAAGACCGAATATGATCTGAGAAGAGGATATCATATAGGCCTTTAAAATGGTATATAATAATCTATTGTCGGACCAGGCTTGTTAGGATATTTATTTTATCGAGTAAATTAAAAAATACCCATATTTCTACAGTTGCCTAACTGCCAAAAAAAAAAAACAAATAAAAAATTTACATAATTTTTATATTACTTTTTAATGAGGTAACAAATTTTCAATAGTTTCATTCAAGGGCCTTAACAGTTACAATTTTTATTATAAAAATCGCTCTTTAACAATTATTTTTGACTTTTATTTACAGCGTGGCGACGAATAACTGTTACCCAGGTTTTTTTGAGAAATAAAAGGGTCCTTTATAGATTTTGCGAAAAAAGTATTTATTGTTAATTTTCCACAGATTTTACTTTAGTTGTATTAATTAGTTTTTAAATTTTAATCCTTATTTACATTTGCCAGCAGTGTAAACTTTGAGAGAAAAGTTCATTTGGCACGCAGGTCTTCGTCAGTTAATTTATTCCATATCTTCTGTAACCATAGGCAAATTTTCTCCATTTTGAGTCTCTTATACTCCCCCTTTTGTCCAACATAAGGCCTCGCCTCATACTCAAAAATCGAATAGACTCGGAACTGGTAACTAGGACGGCCATTCATTCGACCAACCTTATACAGTTTTTTTCTTTTTTGTATTTTTTTATACAAAGCCTAAGAAAAAATACACCTGAAAAAGACCTGCGTACCAAATGAACTTTTCTCTCAAAGTTTAAACTGCTGGAAAATGTAAACAGGGATTCAAATGTAATAACTAATTAATACAGCTAAAATCTGTGGAAAATGAACAATAAAATACTTTTTTTCGCAAAATCTATAAAGGACCCTTTAATTTCTCAAAAAAACCGGGGTAACAGTTATTCGTCGCCACGCTGTAGCTACTCGTTAAATAGCAGTTATTTCTGATTTTTATTTTATAAATCCAATATAACAACTATTTTTGATTTTTATCTAAATAATTTGCAAATAATAGTTATTTTTCATTTTTATATTATATGTCTTATATAACAGTTATTGAAGACTCATTTCTAAAAGTCATCAATAAAAATCAGTGACTTTTACTTTTAAGATTAAGAATCCCTTTCCTTGGTGTACCATGTAAGCCAATAAAAGTCCTTATACGGAAACTCAAGAGCACAGATGAGCGTTTTCAATTATAAGAGGGCCAAGAATCCTCGCTGCCCCACAGGATGAAAAGTTTCCGCCTACTTTGGCTAAATGAGTCGTGTGATCTCATAAATATCGTTCAAATGAAGCCATTGATATACCTATCGTGTTCCTTCTTGGATAGATGTGGTCGAATCTTTCTTTGTCAATTCGCCACTTTTACAATTCGTCTTAATATTTATGAATTGGTTTCTTTGAGTCTTACTGCTGTAATAACGGTCGCCTCGAGAAACTTCGTCAATCGGAGGTAGATGTAAGGTCACGCTTACACAGTCTTACGGTCTTTATATGCATACTTAAACGCAACTTGATTTAGCCATCTGAAAAGTAAATTCGTCTAAGATAAACATGGGCCAAAGCTGAACAAACCCCGCGGGGGTTTCTATATATTTTGAGTGCAGCGTCATCCATTGGGTCCCTTTTCTGCAAAACCTTTGCTTGTCATGAAATGAATACGAATTATGAATTCCAATCAGATTTTATAAAAAATACGGATTTTCTAAATACCTAAACTCCAGCGGTCCATTTTTAGCAAAGGAATTTTTCATCATACAGGTAGTCACGCTGCGAATTTGAACGAGATCTGTTAATAAATACGACTTTTATAAGTAACTCTACTCCAGCGCCACCAGCGTGTTTTCTAGTAGCCCATAATAGGACCTCCGACAATTTGACTAGGCTCTATTGAGTGGTTTTTGAGTTTAGTCCGAAAAACGGAAATGGCTATCATTTTATGTATGTAATCCTGTGTTTCGCCCGAAAAAAAATTCACGCGAAAATTTTGATTCCCCCCATAGTAAATACATGGAAACCAAAAGCGAAAAGTGAACCGGTTCTGGGAAGATGAAACTCATGATAAGGCTGAATATGTTTCGAATGAAAAAAAATCATCATGAAAGTAATAAACGTTTCGAATGTGTATTAACAAAATAGGTTCATAAATACGGCTTTTATAATAAACTCGACTCTAGCACCACCTAGCGGGTCCGTTTTTCGCAAGTGCTTTTTTCATCATGCTTAAATACAACTTTTATAAATAACTCGCCTCCCGCGCCACCTAGCGGCTCCGTTTTTGGTAAACGTATTTTTTATTATGCTGAAACTATACCTTTTGCGGGTCTATTTTTGGTAAACGTGTTTGCCATCATGCTGGTAGCCTACATTTTGAATTTAAAAGAAATCGGTTCATAAATACGATTTTTATAAATAACTCGACCCCAGTGCCACCTACCGAGTTTTCTGGTAGCCTATATGAGGACCATATATGCAAGGTATAACCATAACCTCTGCAAATTTGACTGAAATCTATGCAGTAGTTTTTGAGTTAACTTCGAACAACGAAAACGGCTATTATTTTCTATATATAGATTTAGCCGCCAGCTGGTCGCGTCATTTTATAATAGAAGCGATCACCTGATTGGCTTGTGCTTAAAAGTTGTTACCTATAGGATGGCATTGCCATACGTACATTATAGTACAGTGGTCGAAAAAATTACAGCAACCCCGCATATTGAGAAGTTTTCACAATTTTATCCTTATATAGTTTTAGTTATTTTTTTTTATAAAAATATAGTCCATTCTTTAACAAAAACAATATAAATAAAAGGTTTAACCATTGAGCAATATTAAAAAAAAATTAAACAAACTGGTAGAAATTACGAGCAAGTACCTTTTAGAATTTATCTGCCCTATGAAAACACATTTTTTGAGAACAAAATTTGTTTTTAAAGGGCAGATAAATTTTTAGAACTACTTGAGAAAACGGCCCTTAGAAAGATTTTGAGTATGCAGTTTTATAGTGATTAAAAAATAATTCCAAAAAAAAATTTATGTAACAATATATATAATTTTTTTTTATGGATTTCGCGGAACTTTTTTCGGGACTATTAGCGATCTAAAGAACACTTTATTTCTTGTAAGTTGGTCGTATCAGAACTGTTTTTGCTGAATAAAGGCTTGCGCGTGAAGTTAGCAAGCGATTTTTGTTTGTTAGCTTTTTTGGGTTAAATTAACGAAACTATTGAAAATTTGGTTAGGGAACTGTAGAACTATTGCCTTGCTGTCAGGAACTCTGATTAAAAAGTAATTAAAAAAAAAACTTAGTGTAAAAATTTTTTGTTTGTTTTTATTTCAAAATTTCGCGGAACTTTTTTCGGGACTATAACTTTAACAAAAAACGTTTTCTAACTTTACACGAGCAACAAACACCATATAAAGTCAGATTTCAAACTTTGTACAAAAATTAGAAAAATTCTGCTTATTTTCGCCAAAATTTCAAACTTTTTAATCAGAATTTTGGTATGCAGTTTTGTAGACCATTTAATTCTAGTATAACGAAGTGCAGGTTTCAAGCTGCTATAAAATCCCGTAAATTTTTGTAATTGCTGGCAGTGTCCTCCATATAAAAGAAAATTGTCGAACATAGTTTTGTATGGAAAAAACGTGAAACACCTTCAACAAAAAAATAGTAATTTTTATGAGCAGTCTGCAAATGTTTTTGATGGTGGCTGTTTTCTGTCACTTCACCTGAACATATGAAAAGAAATTCGGAAGTATCGGCGAAAAAAGGCCCATGCCGATGCCGATGCTCAATTTTGTGCCGATACTAGCCGATGCCGTTGCTCAATTTTGTGCCGATAACAGCCGATGCCGTTGCCGATGCCGATTAATCGGTCGGACTCTACATAAGTCCTCGTTATGCAATATCCTTTGATTTTCCTTTATTACAGCTGATGAGCCAAATCTGTATCAGTTCAGTTTATGAGCGTTAAATATCGCAAGTCCTGCCGCGTTCGCGATGCGAGGCAAAATATACCGGTCTGTTGTGTTCGGTCCACCCGTGGTCCGTTTCATGCGTCCCTGGGTCGTTAGGGCGCGGACGGATAGAAAGGGTATTGTACGTTAAAAGCAATTCTTCCAAATGACTTAATTATAGCAAATAAAATGTGATGATATTAAATTTATGAATTATTTGGACTTATGTATATAGTTTTTGTTGTAATACGAGCCACATTTAATTTAAAAATCACGGAAAAATATTCAACATGAAAAACATTGTGAATTAAAAAAAAATGTACGGATAATTATTCCACTAAGTGTAATGTATATTGTTGGGCCCACGTACCAGAGTCTGTTGGCGAAACATTGTTATATTTTTTTATGTTGAACAGTGTTGTTTGTTCTTTTGAATTTACTTAAAAAAATTTTTTTGATGGGAAATGATATAAAATAATTAAAATTTATTTAATCTTTAATAATTTTCAGAATCAGTCAAATGATCAACAGCAACATATTCGTTCAAGTCGGGCAGTTAACAACAATGGCGATATAATTATTTCAGCAATGGATGTTTCTGTCAAATCGGGGGAACAGAATGTGAAGTTGAATAGTCAAAAAAATCCTAATCAGTGCCGTCCCCATACAACATTGACCAGAACGATTTCACAGCCACAGCCTCATCCTCAGCATGAAGCGAATGTTGAAACGTATGTTACAACGTTATTAGAAAACTTCGGAAACATGAATTTACATCGTAAACTGGAGAGAACACAATCTGAACCTTTGCCCCAACAAGTCAATACTTCCAGGTAATTTTCTTTTGTTATATACATAATTATTTTCAAGCTTTTATTTAATTGTATCCTACTAGCAAATACCCGGCGTGCTTCGCTGCTCCTTAAAAGTATTTTGGTGTTGTTACCCCCTCTAAATACATACAAACCTCTTACAAACAAAACTAAGCATTGAAATGAAATTATTGGAAAACTAATGTTGGTTATGAGTTCGTTCTCAGTTCGATATTCATATTGGATATCGAAGATCATTCTCGAAGGTTCGCCACAATGCAAATAACGGTATATGAATGATTTAGTAGGCCATAAACCAATTTGACAAAATTTTGAAGGAAACTTTAAAAATTAGTCACATTCGATAAAGAACATTCCAAATAACATTTCCCAGTCCCCCTCACTTTTCTAAATTGCAGAGCGAACGCTCACCGTTGACTGGAAACAGAATATTCTAACGCTGCTTTTAAATAAATTTTCGCTCTCTAGAAAGATCGTGACGGTTTTAAGTTAATATTTTGATTTCTAGATTGTATTCTTAAAAGGTAGTGATGGATCCGCATACAGAAGGTAATAATGCATTTGTGTGTTAAATTTTTTTTTATCATTTTATTAAGCAAAGTTCAACATAAATATAACGAAAATAGCGGTTTTCAACGAGTATTTATTTTTGAATTTTTGTTGAATATTAAGGAATTTTGTTGTATCCCCGGGAGAGATCGCGTTATTATTCTTTGTTCAATTGAAAGCTTAGAACTTTGGCTAATGTAGTGTGAAAAGATTGCCCGCAGAAAATGGCAGATAAGTGGTATTTCTTCGCTTGGATAATGTATTACAGTAAAATCTAAAAACGCAACTAGTATATAGTAACACTAATTTAGATCTATTTTAACACTAAAATTAAGCTTTTTAAATGAATTTGAGGCCGAACCATAATATGAATACATTTAATTAAGAAAACAAAAATTATTAAAGCAAAACTCATGTTTTTTAGGACCTTTTGGTCCTGTTGCTAGAAATCTGCGGGAATGTTAGGCGAACCCAAATTAAACATTTGTTTTCCTTTACATTGGTGTTATATACATAAGTGATGATTAAAGAAATAGTTTTGGGTATACAAGCGTTTAAATTTAGGTGAATGTCAATTTAGATAAATCTACGATGTTTCAGTAAATTGGTATGTGAAATAAAATTTTGGAACAAAATAGGATTATTATGAAATTTTTGGAAAATGGAAGTGGCCCCGCCCACTTATGATGCTGTATCTCAGTATCCGCTTCACCAATCTGTACCAAACTTTGTATTAGCCTTGCTTAGGCTATATCTAACATATCTGTTAAAAATCCTTGAAATCGGGAGATAACTATGCCCACTTCTCATATAACGGTAATTTACAGAAACACGAAAACAGCGATAAATCAGTAACTACTGAAGCTAATTGACTCAAAATCAATTCTTGGAATAATCTCTTAGCATTAAATTAGATTATTATAACTTTTTGGATAATGGGCGTGGCGCCGCCCACTTAAGACCACAAATGTATATCTCGGTAACTGATTTATCAATTTGTACCAAACTCGATGCACTTAATATTCTTGGTATGGAAAAGCAATACGTTGAAAATACGAAAACTCCGATATTTCAGTAATTGAGGACGCTAATTTACCCCAAGTTAATACTTACAACATTCTCTTAACAAATAAGACTGTTATATTACTGGTATTATTACAAAAATGTAATTTTATTTATTACATTTTCTTACCTATACTGTGATACATATTTGAATTGTCTAATTCTCTATATTAAAGTTGAATTTGATTTTTTAAACCGGTGGAAACCCTGGGAGGTTGCTTAGAGATAAAGATTTCAAACTCATTTCCATTGATACCCATTTAACTAATTTTACAAATTTTTTTAACAGGTGGCAACTCTGTTAATGTTAGATATAAAGCAACTTTATTTTCTTTGTTTTGATGGAATAATTGGACGTCCTCCTCTTCTATTTACTTGATTTTAAACATTTATAATTCTATATGTCAAAATACGTCTTTTCTAAACATTTTGAGTTGAAATATCCATAAAAATAAATCGATCAAATGTGCAATGTTTGTTGAGTTAGAATGGAGTTGTTTTCAAATGGGAATGTATTACCTTTTTCTACCAAGAAAATATTAACAACTACGGTTGAACGAAAAGATGCATCGCAATGGAAGCGAGCGGATGATGTGTAGTTTTGAAGTTACAAACAAAACAGGAAGTTTGAAAACTAACTCAAGTATGTTTTTTTCACATTATATGAACAGCTGCTGTAGCCGAATGGATGCATGTTCGACTGCCGTGTTGTTGCTGAAACCTGTGGCATGGACTCTATTTTTTTTTATTTGAATTTATTTTTTTATTCTATTTCTAGACTATTCATAGTTTCGTAAAGCGACATGCGACACATTACTTTCGTTTGACATCGCTGTGGAGAAATTCTGGCATCTTTTCGTGCGTAGGTTATAGGGGCTCTCCATTAATTTTTGCATTCCCAGACATTCCCTTTTCCCACTGTGTATTTGAATATCAAAAACGACGGATTTTGAATTAATACACCTTTGAAGAAAATGCGAGATATGTAAACTCGACTAAGATTCTACCTGGAATTTCTGGAAGAAAGTAGATATTTTGCCTTCCTTCTACCTTCAAAACAATAGGGCTAATCAGGATCTTGTGCATATGCTCTTGCATTTGCATATTCGGTGGATTTGTAAATTTATAACAATTAAATGCAAACGGTTGCCATGGTAGCAAGCACACAATTCGCAAATGCAAATCCAAGACTATTTGCACAAGATCGTGAACAGCACTAATATTATGTTAGGTCGCCCTGTGGCATTTCATTGTTTGTTTTATGTATTCATGTATTCCTTTATTTATCGTTTTTTGTCTATTCACTGTATTTGTTTACTTCTTTTAAAATACATAGCACAAGCTGAACGGGATATCTCGCCGTTACTCGTTTTAGAATATACATAAAGCCTCAAGTTGGGGAAAAGTGTTTGTATTAGTTTGCAGACGTGCCAGTCAACACAATGATAAAACAACCAACTATGTAAAATCAACCGGGTTATAATTAAAGTTTTTATTCATCTAATACCAAAGCAAAAATCATCGTTTTCATTTAACCCAACAGTTTTCATATTTTTCTGGCACGTCCTGCTTATTAACTTGATATATTTGAAGTCACATCTGGCCTACTAGTGCACGACTTTATTACGTTGGTGCAATTAAATTAAATTAGCCGCAAATTTCGTGAATGCCTAGGTCGAGCGTCAGGAAGACAGGGCAACAGTGAAAGCGAGTTATCGTTTGAGAAATGGACCAAACAAACCAGCTGAGCCCAGCCGGAGAGGGTCAAATAACCGCCATTATCGCGACATTAAACGCCTTAAGAGCATCGGTGGAGGAACTAAGGAACAGCACCGTCGAAAGCCAACGAGATATAATAAGCTTGCACGAGAACATTCGACCACAGGAAATGGGCGAGCAAAACGTGACAATACAGCCAGCATAACGCGGGTCGAGCATAGTCGCCATGCCATCGACAGATTCGACAGTCAAATTCTACGATTTGCCCACGTTTGCCGGTAGTGCGGAAGAATGGCCGCTGTTTTTTATAAGCTTATATTTAACTTGGTCATCCCGCGCAAATCGTGGAAATTTCCAATCGATTTTAAACTTCCCGACAAGTTAGAGACTTGAAATTTTCAGCATAGTTCCAATCACGATGACAATGCAATTTAAAATATAAATGAATTCCCTATATGGTCCAGGGGTCTTGATTCAAAGTCGGTCAAAAATTAGTAAAATTTATGGCTAACAGAGCGTAATTTGCCAAAGAACGTAAAACCAGAGCAAAGCTATTTATGGCAAATTCTAGATATCAACCTAGTCTAGATATGAACCTCGTTGTAGGCATCATATCAAGGAGATACAATTAGAAGACTCGAGAAGTTTCCCCGCCAGAAGAACTTTAATATTGCGCCTAAATATATGCCATGCTACAGCGGAAGTGGACGACACGCCGGTGCTTTAAATGAAATTAACTGCTGCTATATGTATGTATGTACATATGTATGTTTATACAAAACGTAAGCAAACAACATTTTGCTTGCATAGTCTTCTGTTCTCTTTCATTGCAAGTTGAATTATTCTAATATCTATTGCAAAATTTTGTACATAAAATAAAATAAAACTATTTAATATACAACGCTTTTATAAATGGACTAAAAATTAGAAAATAAAGTAATGTAAAAAAAATATTTTTTTAAAAATAAGCTTTTTTTTAACATGTTTAATCAAAGGAATAAAATAAAGTAGTGAAACAAAAGATTTTTTAGCAAGAAAATTTTGTCAAAACTGCACTAAAATGAATAAAATAAAATTCGGCGAATTCAGCGTACATGCATAATTGGTTAGGTATGTATAGGTATGTATGCAGATATTTAAATGCCGGTTTGCTATTCGCGCGACAAGCTTTTTTAAAAACGAAGTAAATTAGTACAAATTGTTAGTAATTTTCATTAGAGTTTGAATAACTCCTTTCACTAAATGGCTTTTAGTAACTTTAACGAGACCTTAACTTATTTTATTTTATTCATTTTAGTGCAGTTTTGACAAAATTTTCTTGCTAAAAAATCTTTTGTTTCACTACTTTATTTTATTCCTTTGATTAAACATGTTAAATAAAAGCTTATTTTTAAAAAAATATTTTTTTTACATTACTTTATTTGCTAACTATAACGACACCACCGAGGCATTCGGATACAGCCATCGCCAAAACTTAATGCGACTACAGAAGTGCCTTGTAGGCCCTGCCAAAGCAGCAGTGGCAGCAATGCTAATTCGCCCAAACGATGTGCCAAACATTTTAAGTGAGTTAGAATTTAGGTTTGGTCGGCCAGACATTCTAGTTAAACATCAGCTACAAAAACTACAACAGTTTCCGCCAATCGCCGAGCAGAAACCGGAACAGGTTG